TAAATTACAGTTGGCTCCTTGTGCTCTCAGCAGAATCACAAAAGGGCAAGGACTTAAGAAAAATCATTCATGTCTGGTTCAAATCCTACAACACAAAAAACAACTGGACCTAAGTTAGTGAAATATATATTTAATACAAGTTTTAGTAGGCTGTCATTAGTCTTAAGTGTCTAAAGATATAATATTTGCTTATACGTAGAATTTATGAAAATCCTTCACAATAACATAGTCTAAAAAGTAATCTTGTTCCTCTTTGTGTTTTTCCTCTCCAGAGAAATATCTACTGCTTATCAACCTGCCACCCCCAACTTTGCCTTCTTCATAAAGGCTGGGTCCGAGAATTTTACCATGATTGTTATTTTGTGCAATGATTCTCCAATGCTAATATTCAGAACTTATCAAAAGTAGCAGATTTGTGGTTTGTAACCCCAGATCAACCAAATAAATACACATAATAAGAAAACCCAAACAGTACAAGTGTATGCATTAGGCATAGGTGTTCGTGTGTGTGGAAGGAGAGGGAATAAAAGTAAGAGCAGCCTAAGTAGTAAGTTGTAGTTTGATGGTGTATGTCTGTTCAGTAATTAATAAATACTCGATTGATCTTGAAGGATGCACAGAGCCCTGATATTCTAATAATATATGGCTATGAAATAATTACAAGGAAGAGTCTAATATTCTACCTTTCATTTTTTCACCATCTTTACTTGCTCCCTGTTACTGGTAGAAACTTGAGAAGAATGGTTTGGGGTGCGAAACTGTCACTAATATCTTCCCTGGGGAAGATTGAGGCCAAAAAAAAAAAAAAAGGCCATTCTTATCACCTTTAATCTCTAAGGCATGTTTTGTCACTGATTATCAAAGATTTAAGATACAAGACATACTGTCCTGAATCAGACAGGAAATGCTGATGTCAGAGTTTCACAGTACTGCTTTTAAAGCACTGGATTGGGAAAGCAATGACCAAAATAATAACAAAGACATCTAAAAATATGAAACATCCCCCACACATTAGTGGCACTACCTCACAAAGGCCTATACTCTAATTTCATACATGCAGCTACTACTGAACTATGACGTCTATATACTAGCAAGCTTACATCTCTAGCACAGACCTCCTCTCTGAATTCTGGACTTAATATCTCTGACTACAATCACTCAGTGAATCATAAAGATGTGAGAATTACAAGCATTTACACTAAAACTGATTTATTAGTAAGTGTTTCACAGATGTATGAACTGTTCCCTTGTTAGACTGGCACTTAAAAATTGTCACAGAGAAGTCCTGTAGAAAATCTTGCTACCTGGACACACTTATGCCAGCTTATTTTCCAAAGACATGAAAAGTCTTTTAAAACTGTTTTCTCATATTTTTTTTCTTTCAAAACTCTTTCACTCAGGTTAGATTTGAATCACTTTTAGTCAATGCTATTAAATTATTTCATTTTGTCATTTATGTGTATACTGCTTTGAAAAAAACACAAAAGGGGGGGAACAATGGACACATAATTTCAAATTTGATCTGAGTGTTACAAATAAGAAGCCTGGGCAAATGGAGGGCAACTCAATTTAGTATTTTTCTTAGACAAAAGCATAGAGAAGTTAAAAGTTCTATCCCTTGGAATTTTAATTTTTCTCCCTAATTACTTCTCGTTCCTACCATTTTTTCCTCTTTCCTATCATCTTTGTTTCCCCTGCCTGCAGTTACCTTCCTCTTGTCTTCCCTTTACCCTGAATTCATTTTAGTGATTTTTTAAAAGCAGCAACTTATTTTACATGGACAGTCTTTAATTTACTAATTGGAAAAAAGGAAAAGTAGCATTGAACACTTGAATTCAAACTGAATTGAGTGCATCTATCTTTAATAACGTGAATTGGGCAAATCTCTAACCAGAGCTTTGAACTGCCATGTCCTTATCTAAGAAATGGGGTTATATGAAAAATCTCCAGAACTGATGAACACCAACTATCAGAGCTAGAGAAAACCAACTAGAATAAAATAAAGGATACACTAAAACATACTGTAGTAAAACTATAGAACATCAAAGAAACAAGAAGTAAGTTTCTGAAGAACAGTTAGAGACAGATGGTAGACAAGTAAGAATTGGATTGACTGTGGATTCTTTGATAACAACAGGAATGTGGCTGAGAGAAAGTTAAACTAAGTTTACATAAGTAGCTGAACAGTTTGACAACATGTTAGAGAGAAGGCATTTTTTGATAGAAGAGCAGACTTCTACTACTCTTGCTCATCCTCTTCTTCCTCACTGACAGAAGCTGTTTGACTTAGGGTGACACAGTCCTCAGGCGGCACATTCCAGTCTCCTTTGCAGCTAGGGCAGCTCTCTGACAGTTCTGGCCACTGAGGCAGAGAGGATCAGAAGCGGGCAGGGTCTCTGAGAATCGGGAATCTCTGCTGCCTGCCTGCTCAGCCTCCGCTGCCCTCTGTTCTTTCCTCCTTTCCGATGCTGAACAGGAATACAGATAGAGTTGCAATGGATTTCTTGCAATTTTGAAGCAAAGACTGAGGAAACTGTGGAAACCTTGTACCCTAACTACTTACCTCTGTACTTTGTTACATGGGGGAAAAGAAAAAGACTTTTTTGAAAGCTACTGTTTCAGTTAGTCATAAATGAATATAACCCTACTTGTCACAGACTGAAGAGGAAAGAAACATAATTACTCATAAAAATATGACTATCTATGGAAAACCCAAGTGAATCTATAGTCAACTTTTAGAAACAGATGTGTTCAGCAATATATTAATATACTAAAATCAATTGTATGTCTACATACCACCGATGAACTCAGAAAATGTAATTTAAAAAAGGTATAACTTAACAATAGCAACACAATATACATGGTTTCTAGAAAGAAATCTTACATAAGATGGGCAAGATCTTATGGACAAAATTTAAAAGCTGCTGAAAGCAACTAAAAATGGGAAGACAAATTATGTTTATAGATGGGGAGACAATTTCATACAGAAATTTTCTGCCCCAACTGTTCTATTCTCCCCCAACTAGTCTACAAATTAAACATAATTCCAATAAAAAATAAATCAGAATTATGTGTGTGACACTTGTCAAGCTATTGCTAACATTTAGGAAGAGCAAAAAGCCAGGAATAGCCACAAAAATTTTGAAGAAAAAGGTGGGAGACTCATCTCGCCACATTTCAATATTTACTATACAGCTCTGGTAATTAAGGTAGTTTAGTATCAGGAGAGGAAGAAGTATGTAAGCCCAGGAAACAGACTAGAGATTCAAGAACATACCCACGAAGACGAAAGCTTACGGCTCACTGTAAGTCGCTGGAGAAAGGGTGGCACATGACGCTAGGGCAACTGGTTACCCTAAGGAAGAAAATGAGGCCCCTAACTCATGCTGTACACAAAAATCAATTCCAGGTGAAAGAAAAGACCTAAAAATAAAACTTGAATCTAAAACATGAGAACATCGTTATGATCATGGGGACTGGAAAGATGACTTAAGGCATAGAAATGACAAGTCTTAAAGAAAAAGACTGATAATTTGACTATCTTAAACGTAATGACCTTGTACATAGAAACACACTATAAACAAATGGAAAAGGCACAGTACAGCCAGGAAGACGATAATTAGGATCTGAAGAGCCTCTAAGAATTAGCAAGAACATAACAAATGATCCAATGGCTAAATGGGCAAAAGGAAATAGCAATCCACAGAAGAGGAAATTGCATGGTATTAACAGCGAACACATGCTTTCCCTCACCAGCGATCAGACACCACAAGGCAGTATCACTGACATTCACCCGATTGTCAATCTGACAATACCAAGAAGCTGCTGAGGAGGTGGAGCATAGGACTTCTGGCTGGTGTGCACTGGATGTTCACTGCTGGAGCACACGGCACGCTGCATACGGGGAGGATGCTCTTAGCGGTGATGCAGCTATTGTACTCAAGGGCTGTTTTACTTCCCAAGCCTAGAGAAACTCTTGTACCAGACTCATGTCATAGAATACCCACAGCACGCAGCTATGAAACCCAAGACTGCTATACAGGCAGCTCCAACAATAGTCGGAAAGTTTCACTTCTGGGTGATGGACACACAGGCACCTTGCATGTATTTTAAAGACACTGTGATGAGAGATATTGCAAATTGAAATGGGTAACTGACTATTTGCAGAAGTTCTCACATGGTATTGTAGAATGGGTGAAGGCTGGGAGAGAGCAAGCCTTAGAAATTAAAAAACAAAACAGAACATATCAAAAGCCTGAGGAAGGTTTTGATACGTTTCCTTACAGGGACTTGCTTATTCTCCTGGCCCAAGAGTGGGCAGTCTCTGAGGAAGTTACTGCAGCTCCTTTCTCTTCTCCAGCCCAGCCGTGCCTGTTACTGTATAGGTGTGGCTGACACACGGACCCTGACCTTGGGCTCCGCGTTCACAGACGGGAACACTGAGTGGGGCTGGGGCCCTCTCTGCGACAGAAATCTACCCCCCTCCTCCAGTCAACATGGTATTCAGTTTACTACTTTTTAATGAGGTGACAGCACCTATCAGAAGCCCCCATTAGCACATTTAACAACCGGCGAAACACTGTCTCAACTCTGCTGCTTACCATACTCCGCGGAGTTGCTACTTATTTTCATAAAATTGTAGAGAAAAAAGTAATTACTTCAAAAGTCAGGGCCACCTGTGAACACAGAAGTATGTACTCGTGTGTAGCATTCTGGCAAGATCAAAGCACTATCAGAGGGAGGAAGGTCACAAAAGCTGCCCTCACCATACCAAAGGGCCCCTCCCAGGGCAGACTTAATAGGCGTGATGAGAACGTGTGTGCTCCTGTGGGCCACAAGCATCAGCAGCTGTCCTGGAGAGCCCTGAAGAACCGTGCCCGTCCTCTGATTCTCTCCCGCTACTGCACGGTGAAGGCTGCCGGGGCAGCAGCCCATTCTGCCACCTTCTCCCCACTGGGCTTGGTGCCCCTCCTGCCTCAGCGCCAGCCCTGAAAAGCGACGTCACTGTGAGATCCAGAAGAGGTTCGCCTGGTAAGCTGCCCCACCACTGTCTAGATCAGATCCTCGGAGAGAAAGGGAACTAACTCTAAGAAGGAAGGACAACACTTGTTTAGGGCCGAAAATGTTTTCCAAAGAGCATCTAATGGGAGCTTGTGTCAATTTTGGCCGAATAGCTTCAAAGCCTGTCACGTACTTTATGCACCCGAGCAGGTATGTTCCTACTGCCCTTTCAAATTCTGATGAGCTGTCCAGACATGGGTGTCACATATCTTTAGTTTTTCCTAATTGTTTCAGCAGTGGCTCATAGGAAGGTCTTTTAAAATATCTTTCAAATGATTTATTTCTTGAAATATTATTTCCTTGTGGGAACCTAAAAGTTTTTTACATGTTATAAAGCAATGCCATGGTTTCATACTTTACTTTTTATAGCCTTAGAGGTGTTGGTCAATTAGGAGATAATCCCATTGACATTCAGTGGAAATTCTTTGATTTAATTCTGGTTATTCATAAAGAGACTAGAGTTGATCCATTTCACACCCGATGGTTTCCTTTGGAATCAGCATTATTTCATCAAGAGATCTACCTCATTCTTTTCTTTCTTTCAAAAGAGACAGTTTTAGTATCCCTAGGACCTACCACAGTTAATAAATACTGAAAAACATCTTAAAAGTTGGTAAGAGCTGCAAATTTGTAAAATCTCAGCAGTTTAACTATGAAAAGAACTTGCTACTTTAGTTAGACTAGCTGCTTCTCTGGAAAACTAAAGTAGGTTTCATGAAGAGCATTGGACAGAGTTCTTGGATTCAACACCGAAGTACAGTCAATAAAAGAAAAAATAATGGATTTCTTGCAATTTTGAAGCAAAGACTGAGGAAACTGTGGAAACCTTGTACCCTAACTACTTACCTCTGTACTTTGTTACATGGGGGAAAAGAAAAAGACTTTTTTGAAAGCTACTGTTTCAGTTAGTCATAAATGAATATAACCCTACTTGTCACAGACTGAAGAGGAAAGAAACATAATTACTCATAAAAATATGACTATCTATGGAAAACCCAAGTGAATCTATAGTCAACTTTTAGAAACAGATGTGTTCAGCAATATATTAATATACTAAAATCAATTGTATGTCTACATACCACCTATGAACTCAGAAAATGTAATTTTAAAAAGGTATAATTTAACAATAGCAACACAATATACATGGTTTCTAGAAAGAAATCTTACATAAGATGGGCAAGATTTTATGGACAAAATTTAAAAGCTGCTGAAAGCAACTAAAAATGGGAAGACAAATTATGTTTATTGATGGGGAGACAATTTCATACAGAAATTTTCTGCCCCAACTGTTCTATTCTCCCCCAACTAGTCTACAAATTAAACATAATTCCAATAAAAAATAAATCAGAATTATGTGTGTGACACTTGTCAAGCTATTGCTAACATTTAGGAAGAGCAAAAAGCCAGGAATAGCCACAAAAATTTTGAAGAAAAAGGTGGGAGACTCATCTCGCCACATTTCAATATTTACTATACAGCTCTGGTAATTAAGGTAGTTTAGTATCAGGAGAGGAAGAAGTATGTAAGCCCAGGAAACAGACTAGAGATTCAAGAACATACCCACGAAGACGAAAGCTTACGGCTCACTGTAAGTCGCTGGAGAAAGGGTGGCACTTGACGCTAGGGCAACTGGTTACCCTAAGGAAGAAAATGAGGCCCCTAACTCATGCTGTACACAAAAATCAATTCCAGGTGAAAGAAAAGACCTAAAAATAAAACTTGAATCTAAAACATGAGAACATCGTTATGATCATGGGGACTGGAAAGATGACTTAAGGCATAGAAATGACAAGTCTTAAAGAAAAAGACTGATAATTTGACTATCTTAAATGTAATGACCTTGTACATAGAAACACACTATAAACAAATGGAAAAGGCACAGTACAGCCAGGAAGACGATAATTAGGATCTGAAGAGCCTCTAAGAATTAGCAAGAACATAACAAATGATCCAATGGCTAAATGGGCAAAAGGAAATAGCAATCCACAGAAGAGGAAATTGCATGGTATTAACAGCGAACACATGCTTTCCCTCACCAGCGATCAGACACCACAAGGCAGTATCACTGACATTCACCCGATTGTCAATCTGACAATACCAAGAAGCTGCTGAGGAGGTGGAGCATAGGACTCCTGGCTGGTGTGCACTGGATGTTCACTGCTGGAGCACACGGCACGC